ATTGCCTGAAAGGGTGGTGGAAGCCGATTCAATAACAATGTTTAAGAGAGAAGTAGATAATTATTTGGGGAGGACACTTTTGCAGGGCTATGGGAAGAGAGTGGGGGAGTGGGACTGGTATGGGTAGCTCTTTTCAAAGAGCTGGCGCAGGCACGATGGGCCGAATGGCCTCCTTCTGTGCTGCATAATTCTATGATTCTATAATTCCAAAAGTGGATTGACTTGTGTATTTTGTGGGCAAAACGTAGCAGTGAGTTGTGCTCAGTAATGTCCCACAAACAGCCATGGAGTGATTATTGGTTCTTGCCTCATTAAAAGGGGGTGAGGATGTTGATGCACATTTCCCCAGGTTTCCACTATCCTTAATTGTATGGATATTTTTGTGTGTGCACCTATATGTGTGCACGCTCACGTTTGCGAGTGTGTGAGGGAGAGAGCGAGAGAGAGGAAGAGAGAAAAAAATAATGCGAACTGCAGTCCACACGACTGGGATCAGATGAGTAAAGAGCACTGAGGAAAGTGCTCGTGGCTCTGTCACCAGAACTTCACACTGGAGATGCCAGTTATTATTGTTGGTTTGCACTTTTGACAGAATAATTATCATTTAAGTCAAGTGTCCTCTGGAAGCAATATCAAATTCAATTCCCAGCGGTAGGAATGCTGAAAACTGTAACAGAATAAGATGAGCTGTTCAGACAGCTCACAACTGATCTCGAGGCGACAAACCTCTCCTGAGTCCAGGAGGATTTATTGAAATAGCAGCTTCCTGTCCAGATATTTGATCATCACTGTAATCATTTAGTTATGACCATTAACTGGCCATAGGTCAGAAAGTGTGGAAAAGGATTTTGTTTTATCCTGAAATTATTGAACCACCGCACACTGCATAATTGGTCTAATTTTGCATTAAAATTGTTGTTGCACATCTCTCCGTCAAGCGTTCATTTACGTTGTAACATTTCGGCACCTATATCAAACTGTTAAAAATCAATGCCACAGCAGTCTTTTAAGTTAATTTGATTTATACCGTGATTTGTATGTTCTGTGGATCTGGGTGCTTCAGTTCTTAACGCTTAGTGCCAGGATTATGCATCTATTTGCCAATGTTGCTCGGATGAACATCACAGGCATTTTGCAAAAATGGCAGATTGTGGAGTTGCACACTTTTCCCAGTATTCTGGCCAACAATCCCCGAGGTAAAATTGGTCACTCACTTGAAGGTTGTTTGTGGGACATTGCTGTGCCCAACTGGCTGCCGCGTTTCACTCACATAATTCAGTAAAATCACTTCACAGTATATGCTGTGACGTGCTTTGAGATGTCTCAACGCCGTGATAAGGCACTATATCAAATGCAAAATCCAAGGATTATAAAACCCCTTCTAAAAATTCTGCCTCTTAACCACGTCTTCGGTCATCTCCCTTCTACTGTCACCCACCTTCGGATTTGGATTTCCTTTTCTACTCTGTAAAGCACTTCGAGACATCATCCTGAGTTAAAGCGGTGTTAATGTTGCAAAAAAAAGGGGAGGATTGCAACAAAACAGTGGAATAGAGGAATCTTAACCCATCATCCCGTGTCCTCTACCCCAATTTCTTCTTTGTCTCCCTTGTCCTGCCTCCCCCCTCTCTGTTAGCCCTTAAAAGCCTCTCCCTCCCAACATGCCCCAGTTCTGACGAAGAGTCGTGGACCCAAAATGTTGACTCACTTTCCTTTCTCCATAGATGCTCCTGACCTGCTGAGTGTTCCCAGCGACTTCTGTTTTTGTCTCAGATTTCCAGCATCTGCAGTAATTTGCGTTTTACTATGTATACACAGATTGTTAACCCACCACTATGAAGATATTTCACAGATGTGCGAAAGATATATTTATCTTATGTTTATTTTTATGCTTTTGTCTGCTTGAAATTTTTTTTAACAGAAGATACAGTACTTTGCCCTTTTAGATTTTCTCCCCCTTAAAGGATTTTAGTTTTGCAATACAGTAAGTTGTTTCAGTGCTGTACTTCATACATTTTGATATTTGTGATTCTGTACCTTATGTCGGTGCTACTGTATACCTGAGCAGTAGAAGCGGTGTCACAATGTGACAAGGAGTGAATACACATGAGGGAAAGAACGTGAGGACTTATGCCCTCTGGTGTCCGCTCTTCCTGCTCCCCGCCCCTCCACCCTCACATTCCTTACAGGTTTACAGTTGAGATTGTTGTTGTTGTTTTACCAGGCAATGGTGGAGAAGGAATCAGTGTGAGAGAATTATATGTGAAAATTATTTCATACTTCCCCACCCTTCCAAGGTGTCATCCATGGCTGAATTGGTAGCATTCTTGCCGCTTGAGTCAGAAATTTGTGGGTTTGGGGCCCATGTTGGGATGTTGAGCTCACAGTCTTGACTGACACTCAACTGTAATGCTGGGGAAGGGCGGTGGTGGTTGCATTGTTGGAGGTGCCATGTTAAATTGAGGTCCCATCATTTGTTCAGGTCGACTTTAAAGATCTCATGGTACTGTTTGAAAAGAGAAGAGTTTCTCCCAATGTGCCGCAAATAAAATTAGCTGCTCACTTCATGGCTGTTTGTGAGACACTCCTGGCTGCCACATTTGCCTGCAAAATACACAGTCACTTCACTTCACAGTTGAGTCCTGCAAAGAGACATCTCGGTGTGATAAGGCACCATCTTATATCAAATGCAAAGATTAGTATTACATTAAGGTGCATCACCAGTTTATACTAACAGGCAACCACATTCCGAACTGTGTCAATACTGTTTAATACTAAGAATTTTAAAGAGCATTGTGTGTTTTTTTTTTAGTTTCCCCAGGTTCTCGACTACAGTTGGGAGTCCCTGCGGGTGACTAGCGCCTAGAGCTCTGTCACTGTCAGCCTGACCCCAGGACCATGAGTGGTTCAGGCATGTGGTTCTGCTTCCATTTTCCCACTTTTCCTGAAGGGGAATCGTGAACCTCTGCACAGTGACTTCTCCAGCATATGTGTCGGAGGAACTCACATGGTACAGCGCATTTGAGCTGTGTTTTTTTTTGATGGGGAAGCGTAGCATTTTTGGCAGTACTCCTGGTAAAAAGGGCCTCTTGCCAATGTTCTGCTCCTGAGAAAGTTGTACATCTGGAATCCTGTAGTTCAGTGGTTAGGGCACTTGCGTCTTATATGAGAGGACCTGGGTTTGATTCCTGGTAGTGTGAAGCGCTGGTCAGGTTTCCTTACTCCACACTCCTCTGTTCACCTAACGGTAAGTAGGATCCCGGTTGCTAGTTGATTGGTGGATCGCTTTTCTGGGGTTAATAATCCCTTTTAAAAAAATAATTTGGTTACTCAATCCTTGACCGTTGGTGGGACACTGCTGTGCGCAATTGGCTACCGCATTTCGCCCAAAAAATATAAAGTCAATTCACTTTACAGTATATTCTGTGAAGCGCTTTGAGACGTCTCGAAGACGTGATAAGGTGCTGTATCAAGTGCAAGGATTATTATTATTATTTGCCCAAGTCCCATCAAGAGTTACTATCCTATGTAAATTTGACATAACCCATACTTTGTATAAGTCATATTAAATATATGATCGCAACTGATACCACTTATGAGAGGCTTACTCTGTACTAATTTCACATTGAAACCAAAAAGTGGTGGACCATATTTCTACAGATGGGGTCTACTGATTCTCTTTTGAACTAACACCCAAAAGCCTTAACACATTGGAAGAATACCGATTCCCTTGTTCCATTTGATTCTGGTTACAATACAATGTGAAATGAATAAAGTTTGAAAGGACGGTTGACATTTATAGCTCTCTGCATTCCCAGGCTAGAGGTGTTGACAGAATATGCTGTCATTCTAATTTGATGGCACTATCGGAAACCGAAACGTGTCTTTAGGGCATTAGCATAACATAGATAAAGAGTGAGGTGTGAAATTTGTTTTATTTTACTTTTCACTTTGTTGCTGTTCAATAGCAGCTGACTTTCCCTCCTTTTTGTCTGTGACATGTCTTGACAACTGCTCCTAACTCGACTGAACAAAAGAATGTATAGAAGAAGTATCCCACTAGATTTGACAGGTTTCAACATAATTATTGGATAATGGTTGGATTGAGATCTTTCAGTTAATTTAAGGCTCCTTTATTTTTAACAACATTGAAGTCAAAGTGCAAGAATGCACGTGATGACAAAGCTTTTCAGGGCTTTTCAGTTTAACCAAGTCTTTACAATGTAATTTCCTTTGATCTACCTGCTGTATGTCATTGGTAGTGGCATCTATCAATACCTATACACTGGGATTCAATGGCAAGCAGGTGTTTGAAGTTTGAGCAGTGCTTGCCAGCTTGTATTTGCCAGTGGAAGTAACGTGAATAAGGGGACAGATAGAATTTATCAGCAATTTACAGATGATTTTTTTCTGGGGGATAGTTATCTCCTTATTCCAGCAATTTGCCACATGTCTGATAGGAACAGAGTGAGAGTGAATTCTGTTCAACTGCAAAATACAGGACAACTTTATGAATCCCAGCTGGCATTGCAGAAAACTGATAAGAATGGCAGCTTATATAAAGCCAAACAGATTAACTTTTAACCTGAATTAGAAGAGAAAATGCGCAACAAAAGCCATAGTGACATTGGTAATAGCTGCTCAGACTGGGTGAATCACTCTCTTGTTCTGCTTAGCCTTTGTGAGAGTGAAGTTATTACGCCGATAGGAATGGCAAAAGGAATTCCACACAATACTGCACTTATCTGCTGATGTCTCCAGTATATTAAATGCCGCTGGTTGTAGTTGGGTTTTAGCTGAACTGTCTACAAGGAAAGATATGTCAAAATGAACTTGCAACACAATACGGCCAGAGCTATATTGTTTTGTGCTTTCTTATCAGTTGTGATTACTATATTTGTGATTACCCCAGGGAGGTTTAAAAACGTCTATTATTTCTATGCATTAATACAGGAATTGGACGGACTGCGTTTCCTCAATAAATCTTCCTTTTCTTTCAGATCCTGGATTTAGTCAAGGGGATGCATTACCAGCTGGCCTGTCAGAAATACTTTGAACTGACACACAATGTAAGGACATGTTTAATTTCTATCGCACGGTAATGAGAGTGGCTTTGTCAGCCTTGGGATGTGACTGTAACTGGTGCATGAAACTCCGAGACTCAGAGGAATAATCACATCCATCATTAGCTGTCAGACTTTGTTAATTTTTATGGTGTTATTATGGGTGCATGTGATTTTGTGCACTTTTTTATGCTTATGTTTCTTTACATTGTATACAATACATATTTTGGGGGATATATTAATTAATTACCTTAATGTGCAATACATTAACTAGGCCAATCTAACCTGGTAAGGAATGGCACTAGCACTGCACTCAATGGCTACTGTCATCTAAGATCACATTTTATGTTAATAGATAATTAAATCACACAAACCTATTGAGAGACTCATTTATCAAAATGCCAAACATTTTTCCAAGCGTCCTATGGAGGATTCGCTCTCACTTCTTTTTTGAACAGTGCACTCATTAATGAGAGATGACATGAAAGATATAAACGTAGAGGTACAAAGTGCATTTAGGGGAAAAAAGTTATGCTGCATAATTGAACATGAATCAGAACTTGACAGAGTTCATATCATCAGAGAACGCTACAGCACAGAAACAGGCCATTCAACCCAAGTCTACACTGGTAAGTTTTTCTCCATATGAGCTGCATTGTCTAATCATGAGCTTCTCACTTCCCAAACCCTTTGATTTTTCTCTTCCTTTTCAAGCATCTGTCTGTCAGTCTGTTTGACAATGGTTTATGACAGAAAATTCCAGCCTAAAATATCCTTGTCCCGTGCATAACATCAGCACAGATCAGATCTCTCCCAGATTCAGCACTGAGACAACTGAACTCAGCCCAGGGGGCGGTAGAGGCACTTAGGCTGGCCTCACTGTCTCCTCCCATCAGTGAGGGGAAAAGCAGCGTTTCGTCCCCTGAACATTATTCAGTCTGCCTCACTGGATTGCACTTGATGATATTGTGAGAAGGCGAGGTCAGGATCATTGTGATTCCCTCTCTTTTCTCCCCTCTGTTGCTAACCATGTTTTGTTTCAAGCAGCTTTGTTCAGGAGAGAAACATTTGGTGGGAGGGGAAGCAAAATTTTTATTCTTGGCCACATCTAATAATCATCATTACCGCCCACATTTTCCTTGATTTATTCACAAAGTATAATCTTTATACCATTATCTAAACATAATAATAATTTGGTCATTCAATCTACGACTGCTTGTGAAACACTGCTGGGTAAAATTGGCTGCTGCTTTTTGCCCACAAAATTGGCAGTATAATCTGTGAAGCACTTTGAGACATCTCGAAGACATGATAAGGCGCTATATCAATGCAAGGATTATTATTATTATTTTACGTAACACTGTCTGGGAAATTCTCTCCCATGCTAAGGACATGCGTTCCTTTACCCTCATTGTTAAAAAAGTGCTCTAAAACCTTGCCATTCCATTGCTTGTGGATTACCGTCCCTTTGTGAAGAGTATTACCTACAATGCCTCTTGTAGTCTTCAGAAATCTAGGATTTTGTATGTCTTTTCATCTATTATCCTCACCACTACCACCACAATCATTTTGTGCTAGACACACATTTACCACCTTGGTTCCAGAAGATCGAGGGAAGCGAACTCTGACAATGAGAACTGTAGTTATGTGTCAGGGTTTTGGAATTGAGATGGAAATGATCTATGTGGTTACCTGGCAACAGAGCATGCTGCCTACCCATTTGAAACCATCTCGCAGACCACGTTTAAAATTATTAAACGGGTAAGTGCGAGGCTGAGTCCTGTTGTACCTAAAATCAGCAATTAAATAAGATAACCTTGCTTTTAAGGATTTATTCTTATCTCTCTGATTAAGTTCCTTAATAGATGTTTTCTCTGTTAGATGGTTTCTCAGTAACTGCTTAGTCCATGCTCCATGCTGGCAAATTGCTTTTAGCTTGTGCTTTTATTAGAAATCAGTTGCTACTTCTCTCTCTTTCTTTACCTCTTTCTCCCTCCTGTTGCCTTTCTTGTTGGCTCCTTTTCATCTACCCTTGATCTTTGTTTCCATCTCTTTTGTTAGTCAATTGACAGTTCGCTTTCCTGGATAATAATTCCTCCCAAAAATAATTTGGTCACTCAATCCACGACTGTTTGTGGGACACTGCAGTGCTCAATTGGCTGCTGCGTTTCGTCCACAAAATACAGTCAATTCACTTCACAATGTATTCTGTGGAAAGCTTTGAGATGTCTCACCGGAGTGATAAGGCGCTATAGCAAATGCAAAGATTATTATTATTATTCTTTTTTTCTTTTTATCTTTTCTCTCACTCTCTTCTTTCACTCCCTTCTATCCCTTTTCACTTTTTTTTGTAATCCTTTCTCTATTTTATTTCTGTTTTCTTCTCTTTTCTCTCTCTGCTTATCCAAATCCCATCAATAATTTAAAACTCAAAGAAGCAGATGCTGGTAAGCTCTGCCTACATTCTTCTGACCATGAGCCCCGGCACTCGCATTGATTTACCATAAGATCATTAAGAATTATAATAATAATCCTTGCATTTTATATAGCTCTTTATCACGTTATTGAGGCATCTGAAAACGCTTCACATAATATACTGTAAAGTGGATTGAGCAGAATTTTGGAATTTTTTAAAGTTTAGTCTGAATTTGGAAGCTAGTTTATCAAAAATAATTAATTGAGTCTGTGTTAATTATATTCCTTCCACATTAGAACTCTGTTTGTTCACATGTCCATTTACGCAAAGTAGATATGGGGCCCATCAAAAAAATTCCTGTTGTGCACATGAGAAATGTTGTGTGCGTGAACTCCTATTTGCTAAGAATCCAATTTAGTTGCGATGACTCTGGCTAAATAGCGTCCTTAGCAACTGCATACACATGCATCCAACAAGGATTTTCCCTATACAGAGAAAGGTCATTGTTGTAAATGCAATTCTTGATGTAATATTTTATACCATGTAGAATGTAGCCAAAAAAATATATAAAAAACATTGAAGAGACTGTATGCAAGAGAGAGAGCGAGAACAAGACTGAGAGAAGAGCTGGCATAGAGTACACTTGTTGGAACAATTTTTGTCATTAGCAATGCGGCCAATTTGTATTTTGTGTGATGTCCAGTTATTTGAGGTCTGCTTATCCCTGATGGGCTGGTCCAATTATTGCAGATAATTTACAAATTTAATTCTACCCATTGCTACCAAAATGTGGCTCCTAAGAAAAAAAACAAGACGTTAGTCAAGAGAACATGCGCCATAAATTCTTGGCTATTAAATCTGTCCCACAAAGAGCTTTTTAAAGGTTTGGGATTTTTTGAGGGGTCAACCAGGTGTCTGACACATGTGGACACCCATCCCCATGCTTAAGAGTATCCAAACCAAGCTGAGAATTCCATGCATCCCAACTACACATGGAAATCCCAGAGATAGATTGTTGGAATGAAATGCGCACTCTCTTTCCCTGGAGGGACGCATTCTGCTTACCCAGTTCCGGAAAGTATTCGGCACAGGTTGGCAAGAGCCAAGGCTTGGGGACCCTAGAGTATGCATTGGAGTAACTGCCGGAGTCTAACCAGGTAAAACAAAATAGTAAACCGATATCACTGTCTGGGAAGCTTTCCCGCTGCTTGTCCAGCTAGAACCAGGAGCTGAGTGGGATGACTCCCTGCCCAGTGACTGGTCTGTCCTTCCAGGTCCTGCTAATGAGTCAGTCTGGTTGTGCTGTCATCAGCTTTGCCCTGGAATACTGCGGACCCTCCTGGCTCAGGAACCAGACAGAGAGAGGGCTGACTTGAAAGGTTTTGAAGACAAGGGTTTTGGGGAGAAGTCACCTGTTTACGGACAAGCTAAAGTTCCTCAAGAAAAGATGAGTAGGGAATAATAATAATAATAATCCTTGCATTTGAGCGCTTTTCACGTCAGGAGGACGTCCCAAAGCGCTTCACAGAACACACTGAAAAGTGAATTGACTATCTTTGTAGGCGAACACGGCAGCCAATTGCGCACAGCAATGTCCCATAAACAGACGTAGATTGAAAATGACCAATTTATTATTGTTTTCGGTTTTGGAGAGATTATTATTAGGCTCTGTGTGGAGCAAGGAAACTTGCCCAAGGTTTCGCCCTCTGCCTGGAATTGAACTCAGGTCTCTCACTTGCAAAGCGAGTGCTCTAACCACTGAGCTCCAGGACTCCACACAGTTACTACTGATCTTCCTAGAGTCACACAATTCTGGGTTGTTCCCTGCTGAACAAAGCAGAACCACCTTGAAAGACACACACCTCCTCCCTGAGCCTGAGAATGAAACGAGTGGTTTGGGGTAATATAAATTAATGAGCATTCATCACTGCAAGTAAGCTGAATTCTATTAACAATTTTTCTTCTCAACATGAAGCAAATTGTCCAGTAATTTCCCTGTTACTGTACTGCAGGTTAGGTTGGTTTTGATCGATCTCCATAGTCACACTGGCCAGTGTGTCCTGAGTCATGCTGACATTCACTACAAGGTTTATCAAAAACTCATTTGGCCTCTGGTTTCTGGGAAATCATTGAGCCAAGTGCATATTATACCAACGGGCTTCATTGGATTTCTTATTAAATAGAATAATGATGTTTCTCCAAAATCGAGTTTTTTAAAAAACTTTCATCTAACAGTGGTGAACCCCTTTGCCGGCTTCTGAACAGCAAAACAGCTTAGCAGAATCTTCATTAGCACTGCTTGTCAAGAGATTTATTCCCCGCTCCTTTAAAGTTAATTATAAATGTGTAATTAATCCAGATGAGAAAAGTGAGTCGCAATTGAAAATGAAATGGCATATATTGAACGGCTTTTGACTTTTTCAAAAAAATGTTCTAAGCTATGGAGTTTAATCCACCCAGTACATGTGCAGTGAAGGTCTGAAGGTATTAAGAGATGTGACCCTTTTGCAAGCCACAGCAGACTTTTGTGATTGTTCAGCTTAAGCCACTGCAATGAAGAGCCTCCCGACGCAGAACTATTTTCATTAGTTGCATACATTTTGAATAAGCATCTCCCAAGTACTTTCTTTACAGAGAGAATGGGGGGAACGTGGAATTCTCTTGTCGCAAGCTGTATTTGCAGTAGAGACCACAGATTATTTTAAAAGCAAATTTAATAGCTGCTCGAAGAGGAGGAATATTAAACATGAATACCTGGGAAGTAACTGTACTAACCGACATGCGGAAAAGTGGGGAAAAAAGTGGGCTGAAAAGATATATCGTGGCCGAATAAACTGACAGAACAGGTTTGATGGGTTGGATAGCCTTCACTTGTTACATCCTTTGACCACCAAATAACAGCTAAAATGCTGCCCTGCCTGCACATTCTCAAAGCTCATTTAAGTGTTCTTTATGTAGTGTTTAATGGCCTCTTTTTAACGTTTCTTATCAGTCCAGAGATTGCTGCTGATCTCAAATTGTACACAATTGCCCAGCTCCCCCCCCCGTTAAATGATACAAGTCGTTACTTTAACGACGTTTGTGCTATTTTGGCAAAGGAGCACCTACAATCAACTCGATACTCTTGATCAGCAAAAGACTACCTGCTACATAAATTGTCCTATTTGATGCAGATTAATTACTCTGTTATAACCCTGCATTTGCCTGGGTCTCACATCTCAAATATTATGCACAAAGGAAACAGCGAGCAGGAAGTGATGTTAACGACATTGTCTGTATAACAGGAATGCAAAGCACGCATTTATGTGCATGCAAGCAACATATAGGAAGTTTAATCAGCAACAACATGGCAGCCACTATTTAATATCAGGATTCAGCTAATTAGTGACAGAAACCGGATGAAGCGACTTCTCGGGATACCAGTGCTACGAGAGGAAGTACATAAAAATGTAGGATGCTAGTTTAGGATTGCCCTGGAGCTTCCAATAAGTCATGATCAGAATGCTTTAAATGCTGGTGGAATATTTGCTGATGATGTACTATTGTGGTGCAACTTTGTTGGCTCAATCGCTCGGCTCCTGTCAGCAGCTTCTTGCCTCAGGCGCTGACAGCTCAACCTGCATGGATGCACATTCCACCTTGCAGAGATGGTGCTGTTATCTTGTTTGATTCCAAACTGTTCTTTAAGCCCCACATCTGCTCTGACCTGCTCAGTTTTCCCCTACCTCCTAAATATTCCCTGCATACAATCCAAAACTCTGCAGCCCATGTTCTTTCCTGCACCATGCTCCGCGAGTCTATCACCCCCATCCTCGCCTAGTTCCATTGGCTCCTCATCTCCCAGTGGATTGAGTCCAACATTTATAAATGGAATCTTGTTGTTGTTGTTGTTTTCACCTTTACAGCCCTTCGCAATCTTGCCCCACCTTTCCTCTGGGCCCTTCTCAAATCTACCAATTCAGATGCTCCCTTCATTTCTGCAACACCGCTTCATGTCCTCTGCTCTACTTACCCCACTGTTGGCGAGAGGACAGTTAACCCATCTGCCTCCATTCTCTGGACTCCATCCCTTAGTCCGTCCACTCAATCCCTTCTTCATCCCATTCAGTGTGCTTCTCAATACCTACCTATTTGACTGTGCTTTCAGTTATCTTTCTCCTCCCCACCCCCTCGGCTCCTGCCCCCAGCTCGGGTGCCAAGCCATTATTTTTAAGTGCCTCCCAACGTGAAAGGCGCTGTATAAATGTAAATTTGTATGTATTCTGTACGAGCCTGGCAAAGGTTGTCTTAGTCATTGTTGTTTACAAGCAGACAATTTGATGACTACTGTTAGGTTAAAAACAAAACAATGATTGATAGACTAAACTAGTAATTTGTGTGGCTATAATACTGCTGTAATGTTTTTCTGCTCTGATTTGAGTCTTCTTAGCTAGGCATAGAAACCCAGAGTGCATGCCTTTGTTTCTTCCGTTGTTCTTAGCTTGGTTGAGTATGTGATCCTAATTATTCAGAATTGTCCTATTAGCAGATTCGGAAGTGTGACAAGAACACAGGGAATATCAGCAAGACGGAAAATGAAAGGAGTCTCAGGTTTTCATTGCATTTCATACAAATTGTTACAGCAGTACTGATGAACAAGGCGAGATTTGATATTCATTATTATTGCTTGCTCAGTGTGAATTGCATTGTTCAATGGAATTGACTCACAATGCAGAGTAGCTTATTGACACTTTTACAGACTTGAAGGAAGTGATAGGGAGGCAGAGTGCATTAGATCATTGTTCTTTTGCTTTCTGGGAGTTAGGTTGAAATTCAGCCTGGATTCCTCCTCTGGTGGATGTGAAATAAATTAATTAGGATAGTCACATCTCTCTCTGTGCTTCTCTCACTTTCTCTTTGCTATTCTCTCTCTCTCTCTCTCTCTGTCAATCTGCCTGTCTCTTTGCCTCTATCTCTAGACCTTCCTCTTCTACCGCTCCTTCAGTTACCCTCCTACCCCCACCCTCTGTGCCCTCCACCCCTCTTGATCCCAACCCCCAGCTCGGTGCATATCCTTAACTGTCCAGCGTTTTGGGATGTCATCATGATGTGAAAGGCGCTATACAAATGTAATTTGTTGTTGTTGCTGTCAAGACAGTTTTTTCCCCCCTCTGTTTGCTGAGGTATTGTCTAAGTAGCTTTCACTCTTCGATTTGTCTCGGGGTTACAGAACATAATTTGAACCTTCGGCTCATTTTAATTTCTTTTTCTCTCCTCTTTAGGTTGAAGAAGTAGGATTTTCCCACAGTCACCCCAATCAGTACTTTCTTGAAAGCCAGAGGCTGCTCAATGTTGGTCGAGATGTAAAGAAAGAGCCCAGCCCGCCAGAAGGTTCCCAGAGAAGCCAAAACAGTCAGCCAGCAAGGCCTGCTAGCGTCTCTGCACCCAAATCTGCAGACCGACTAGCCTCGGAGGAATTAGAAATGATATTCAGTGATGGATAAGATGTTCGTGATTATTAATAGAATGGTATCTGATATCCAAAGAGGTGTGTTTTGTTACCACATTCAGACACATATTCTTAACAGATTATATGCAAATGATGGCCTTTCTGATATAATTGGGTAAATGAGGTGAGTTCCGACCTAGCATGTATGTCCGATAAGTTTATTAATCTGATAGAAATCCTAGGACAATTCCAAGAAAGAGAGCACATGACAAGTTTTTTTTTCACAGCGTTTTATACAGAGACTGGTTTTGCACGTGTGGTGCTAGCTGTCTGACTATGAATGGTGAGGTTCACGTACATGATGCAAGTTGATTGCAGCAGTACCCTTGGGGTAGAAATTGTTCTAAATCCATTCTACCGCCCGTGTAGTAAGATGCCTTCGCCCCGTGCATTAAGCTTGTGTCGCACCAGCAAAATTGATTACTTGTTGGAATTGAAGCATGTACATTTAGAATAGTCTTTAAGCCAGCCTAAGTGAAGAAATATTAAAACCTAAGCTGCTGCTGTTTAGTGAAGGCCTTGATGTTGACAGGTTGCACACTTCACGGGGTTTTACAAAACTGTCTCTTTCTTCACGACTGGTCTACATCATTGCTCTGAATTGTAGTCTGTACCTAATGGATTCACCGTCATTAGCTGTATTACAAGCTTCGCTGCCTTGTAATGCGGTCTGTTCTTTCTCATTGCCCATCAGGTGAAGCATAAGTGTGTTATACAACACCCTCCATCATACTTGCAGATTTGCAAACCCCGTTCACAAATATATTTACATTTCCGTGCAGTTATTCTCAAGATAGAACCATTATAGAACCAAATTAATGAAGGCACACGCATGTATTTTTGCAATACCATTTTTCTTTATTAACTTAAATAAATAAGCAATTTGCAAATTATAGTTCAGAAACTTTTTCTTTTCATGAATTAAAGGTAATCCCTTAAACGAACAGAATTCTTTGTGTGCTTTGTTGTCCAAGCTTTTAAATCTGAATTTGTCGTTTGTAGGTTTCACTGCACCTATTGGCATTGAAAAGACTGAAGGGCACCTTGTATTTGCAACAGGTGAAGAAACGTGTTGGTTGGAAGTGGTTCAGTTAGAGTACTCTAATTACAATCATTTATCAAGCATTTACATTCAACACCTGTGGGAAGGGTTGACAATGTGATATCACTCTATTTATGGTGTCTTTTACATGAAAGGCCTCATATTTGCGTCTGCTGGAAAGAGTTTTTCAGCAAATAGAAAACTCTACAGCAGACACAAAAATGTTCAATCACTGTTTTAACATCTTCTGCCAAGTCTCTCATGTATCTCTCCAGAGTACAGCCCAGCGTTACGTAGATTCTGCTTAGACAATAGAAACAAGCAAACTATCAAACCACGTGTAGTAAGCTTGATACCTGCTTGTTACAATGAATCATTTGTGTGGGATCCTGTAGCGTAGTGATTAGAGCACTCACCTCGCAAGAGAGACCATAAGTTTGATTCACAGGTGGGGCGAAACCTTGGACAAGTTTTCTTACTCCACACACTTCTGTTTACCAAGCAGTAAGCAGGAACCCGGATGTAAATCGATTGGCGGATCGCTTTTCCAGGGGTAATAATACCTTCAAAAAACATAATAATAATACGGTTACACAATCCACGACTGTTTATGGGACGCTACTGTGGACAACTGGCTGCCGCGTTACCCCACCAAGATATACAGTCAATTCACATTACAGTATATTCTGTGAAGTGCTTTGAGATATTTCGAAGACATGATAAGGTGCTATACTTTGATGTACAAGTCCGTGTTCAGCACTAGTTATGTGACAGCTTATTCATGGGAAAAAGATACTAAAAGAATGAATGTCTATCTAACCTTGGTGCAGAAGATGAATTACACATCCTATTAAGCTTTCACGTGGCAGGAGAGCCAAAACAAACCAAATGGGAACAAACAAATTGTCTTCTTGTTTAGTAGTTTCTAGATATTTTAGGGGGACGGTGTGACAAATTTTAAATATTGGATCTTTACACTTAGGTCCATTTGGGTTTGAACAAAATAAACCATGTACAGGGCGACCAAAAAGTGATAATAATAATAATGATACCCTATTGTCTAAAAAAAAGTCACTTTAAGACTTCTTAGACATTGTAATGTAATGGTATCATGATTTTTTGGTCACCCTGTAGAAAGACATGATAAAGAACTATGTCAAATGCAAGGATTATTATTATTGGCGCCATAACAACGCAAATAATCTGGTTATTTCTAAAAAGGGAATTATGGTTTCCATTTGACTCCATCGTGTTATGTATGACATAATAATACTTGCATTTGATGTACACCTTTCAAGTCCTCGAGACGTTTCAAACAACTTCACAGGATATATTGTAAAGTGTTTTTGGCTGTATATTGTGAGCGAATCAGGGCAGCCAGTTGCGCACAGCAGTGTCCCGCAAATAGCCACCATTGAGTGACCAATTTTATTTGGGGGATTGTTGGCAGGACACCGGGAGGGAGAAACTCCCTTCTCTTTTCGAATACTGCCATGGGATCTTTAATGTCCACCTGAACAGGCAGGTGAGGCCTCTGTTTAAGGTCTGCTCTGAAGGACGGCACCTCCGACAATGTAACACCCTCCAGCAGTGCATTGGAGTGTCATCTTAGACTGATTCCAAGCCTGACGTGAGGTTTTGAACCCACAACCTTCGGACTCAGAGGCAAGAAGTAAAGAATGTTATGGTCCCTATCCCCTGCTTCCATTTCCAAGAAACATGGAGCTTTTCACCACATTATATATTTGTTCATATTCCTTCCTCATCTAAATTTAACCCAATTTCAAATTAATTTGCTGCTCATCCATTTGCTGTTTTGTACGGTAATTCTGGGTGAAAATCAGCTGCTGGGTTCGTCCACTGAATAACATTCACTTAAATTCTAATTAATCTCATTCTGGAAAGTGCTTTGAAACCATTTCTTTTTACGTGAAATGTTCTAAATAAATGTAAGTTGTAGTCTTTCCTTCTGAACCTTTCTTTGGCAGTTGTGGAAACGCTAACTACATATTTTCAGTCAGTTTAAAGTGGGTGGTGAATCTTTGTGAATATGAGGTAAGATAACCTCTTCACACATGGTTAGAAACAGCCATATGTCTGAATAGCTGATGTTTCAATTATATACTGTAGAAAGGATCAATGTGCCTGAATCTAACACTGTTTAAAGTGCTCCCACCTTCCCCAAGTTTAAGATGATTGACCATGCTTTTGGTCATCTTTCCCTTCCCCATGCCCATGGCTCCCACCCAGCCCCAGTTCGGGTGTCCTAACATGCATTGTTAAGCACTTTGAGACTTTAATCCCTCCAAAACCAAAAACAATAATAAAATTGTTCATTTTCAATCTACGACTGTTTGAGGGACATTGCTGTGCGCAATTGGCTGCCGCGTTCGCCCACAAATATACAGTCAATTCACTTTACAGTGTGTTCTGTGAAGCGCTTTGGGACGTCCTCTCGACGTGAAAAGCGCTATATCAAATGCAAGGTGTATTATTATTATCCTCCTCTGAATGGTGCTGTATAAATGTAAATTGTATTGTAGGATGCTGCAGTGATCTCCCACTAAATGCTAGAACCATATTTAGCACATATTTTATCCATTCCATTTTGCCCACAAAATATACAGTCAATTCACTATACAGTATATTCTGTAAAGCGCTTTGAGACATCTCAAAGATGTCATGAGGCGCAATATAAAAATCCTTGCATTTGATATAATGCCGTATCATGTCTTCTAGACGTCTCAGCGCTTCACAGAATATACTGTAAAGTGAATTGACTATATTTTGTGGGCAATCTCTGATTAAAATTTTAAGGGAATTTTGACTCAAGTATTTATGATGCATTTACGTTATAGCACAGTTCTACTTTCCTAGGCAGCCCTGACTTCAAAATGCTACAAGGTAAAGAGATGGAGATATTGCCTCTAGGTATCCGAGACCATCTAAAGAGGTTTCCTTCCTCCCAAACTTCAAAGGCACAACATATAAATGGTGCATCTTAAGGGGCGAGATACTTCTGGCTACCTTTGACTTGAGTCTCAGGTCTTGGAGCCTGGGCTGTTTCAGAACTGTTTACATGTCAGTGCAGCATTGGACTCTTAAAATGTTATAGGAATCTGGTTCTTATTTTTCCATCTTCAAAAATATACCATCTGAAAAACTATTTCCTTGCTATCCTCGGGAGTTTCAAATACTTGGTTTATATGAAGGAACCAGAGACTTCAGCCTGGCAGACCTCCGATATATCTCACACATTCTATTGGCTGCAGTTTCCGCCCACAAAATATCCAGTCAATTCACGTTACAGTATATTCTGTGAAGCGCTTTGAACATCTCAACGACGTGATAAGGCGCTATATCAATTGCAAGGATCACTATTACTAAGACTGTCTTTAAGTTGGAACGCGTCTCTCTAAATTCTGCAGAATTCCAAATTAAGATGTGATAAGGAGCTGTCGAATGCAAGGATTATTAATACATTCCAGATGTCTTGTTCATCAATTTATTTAAGGTCAGCATCCCAATTGTCTTACTGACTGCTTACTACGCCAGCAAGCAAGATTTTAATGAACAATGGAACATCGAATTTTGACAAGGGTGTAGATGTCGATCAAATATTTTGCTCCAGGAAGACCGACTTAAAGGAGAATAGTTTGTATAGCCTCACGGCATTCCACAACTCTTATGAAGAAATCACTGAGCAAACCTGTAAGTACTGGATGTCCCCTGAAGGTTTCAGTACTAGTGTTTTACAGTAGTTTGGTTCAGCTGTTGGTACATTCGGTTTTAATAAACATCAGCATTTGGCAACATGTGAAGGGCACCACTGTCAGTCAAAGTATATTAAAATTTATCTCTTCAACACCTTCCCCCGAATAGCACGCACACGCCAATAATAATGGGAAGGAATGGAAACTAGGTTATTTAATTTGGCATTAGTAATGCAGATTTCTACAGGGCTTGTGAACAGAGTGTTGGGGTGGGAGAAATCTAATACAACACAGAGCTGAGATTCTACTGAATAAAGTCAAATATTAATCGCATCACTGGCAAATATATTAGAGAAATCATTGAAGTCTTATGCCTTGGAGTTGACTAGTGTGTAATAAAAGTGAAAGTCGATTGAATGTCGTCCTTTTGGTCCCTTAAACAGGTTGTTGCTTAAATTTCACATTTATTAAAAATTCCTGATATAGATCTGTCTCACAGAAAAGAACTCCAGAGCTTTGGTCCGGAAACCCCTACACATCATCTGCAGGAAAACACAAGTGTATGTAATTGCATACTACAGTTAAAAGAAATGCATTTTTATGAGCATGTTCTCAGATTGACTATTATGTCCCGACGTGGGGTTTCAACCCACAAACTTCTGATTCGGAGGCGAGAGCGCTATGAATAAATAACAATCGTTTATGTTGAGGAGTCTCAGAACGCTTCACAGGATATAGTGTAAAGTGGTGTGAAGTATTTTGTGGATGAGTGTGCTGCCAACCAAGCTTGGCGGACACATAAGGCTTATGAGTCTTTGCTTTAACATTTCATCCCATTTTCAACCAGTATCGCACTGGAAGTGGCAGCTCAAGTTCTGACATAGGCCTCGAATCCACAGTGCTTTGACCTAGTGGCGAGAAGAACTGACTGAGCCAAGATGAAACAGAGCAACAATTTTACATTGATATTGTGCATTTCGTGTTGGGAGGATGTCATGAGGTGCTGAACAGGCAGGTTCTGCATCTGAGCTGGGGGTGGGAGATGAGGGGTGGAGAAAGATGACCAAAGGCACGATCAAAGAGGAAGATCTTGAGGCCAACCTTGAAGGAGACAAGTGATGGGGTGAGTCGTGGGCATTTTGAGATGGAGTTCCAGTGAATGCGGGCAGAAAGCCTATCTGCTGATGGT